AAAAAAAAAATTAATGATATTTTATATCCATTTTCTAATTGAGCTAAATCTTTTAATCATCTCAATTTGGACTAGACTTGTGATGGATGTGTTACTTAGTTCAGTGTAAACATTTCATATCGTATATTGAAGCAGTACTCTGAACCCCATAAATGTATCAATGTACAAAGTTATGATTTAATAAGAAATAATTAAAAAAATAAATTTAAAAAAATTTGGACTAGACATATTTAAAGTGCTTAATAGCCCATAGTTAGCTAGTGGCTACTATACTGGATACCAAAGTTCTATACCCATCTTTATAGACTACTTTGTGGTGTAGCAAATTACTTTCCTTCTTTTTTTTGAGACAGAACCTCAAGCTATCCCCCTAGGTAGAGTGCTGTGGCATCATAGCTCACAGCAACTTCTAACTCCTGGGCTCAAGTGAGTCTCCTGCCTTAGCCTCCCAAATAGCTAGGACCATAGGTGCCTGCCACAACGCCCGGCTATTTCTTGGTTGCAGCCATCATTGTTGTTTGGCAGGCCCGGGATTTGAACCCGCCACCTTAGGTGTATGTGGCTGGCACCTTAGCCACTTGAGCCACAGGTGCCAAGCCTCCTTCTTTTTGATTTCTGTTTTCATCAGTAAAATGAAGGATTTGGACTTGCTTATCTTCTTTTTTTTTTTGAGATAGAGTTTCACTATGCGCCCCCCGTAGAGTGTGGTAGCATTACAGCTCACAGCAACCTCAAACTCTTGGGCTTAAGTGATTCTCTTGCCTCAGCCTCCTGAGTAGCTGGAACTACAGGCGCCCACCATAACACCTGGCTATTTTTCTGTTGCAGTTGTCATTGTTGCTTAACTGGCCTGGGCTGGCTTAGAACCCGCCAGCCTTGGTGTATGGGGCCAGTGCCCTAACCACTGAGCCACAGGCACCGCCCATGGACTTGCTTATCTTCTAACAATTAAATGTGGTTCCTCTTATGTATGAGGGAGCCTTCTGAGGTATTTTAAATAATGTATATATGCTTTTTTTTTTTTTTTTTTTGAGACACAGTCTCCTTCTTTTGCCCAGGCTGGAGTGCAGTAGCATTAAAACTTACTTAAGCTTACTATAGCCTCAAACTCCTGGGTTCAAGTAATCCTCTTGCCTCAGCCTCCTGAGTAACTGGGACTACAGGGATGTGCCACTGTGCCCTGCTATTTTATAAATTTTTACTATAGACAGTATCTTGCTCTTGCTTAGCCTGGTCTCAAGCACAAGCTATTCTCCCACCTCAGTCTCTCAGAGTGCTATAAGTAATGTATATCTTGGCTTGGCGCCTGTGGCTCAAGTGGCTAAGGCGCCAGCCATATACACCGAAGGTGGTGAGTTTGAATCTAGCCCGGGCCAGCTAAACAA